TTGGATCAATGTCCATATCATCTGAGTCATATTCGTTGTCTTCCCAACTCGGCATCTCCCACTGTGTTTGCCTAAGAACAGATCAAGCAAAATAGCAACTTAAAAGATATTTAGCATTGTTAGTTTGGTACATATCACGAAGATGTTCCCATCTTTCAAGGCGCTGGATTTCATGCGAAAAGTGGCTCCCGTTCGTTCGAGCCCTGACACAAAAGTGTGGAGGTCTCTTTCCTGGCAGAAGACATATAGAGCTATGGTTTTTTTTTTTTTTTTCTGCAAGCGAGGCTTCAACTAGTTTTCTTTTCTTGAAAATAACAAAAGGTGACAGACACCCCAACAACATACGACAGCCTGTGGGAAATCTCGCGCCCTCAAGATGCGGGCATCTTTGTGATATGTACCAATAGTTCATATCTATCTACATCATAAAACAGTGTAACAGGATTAGCAGCTCTAACAAATACTTACTTGTAGGCAACTGTCAGTCCCTAGGGACCACAGACCTGGGCAAGGGGTTGTCTGCTATGACTGTAAAGTCCAATGCAAGAGTGGCAGTTTGTGCCACATAGTCTACACAAAAACAATGATACTCTATAAGGCTGAGACTGGTTTTCTCTCTGACCCTCTCTATAGCTTGCATTAGGTCTCTTACAAAAGGCCACAGTCTGTCTTTCATTGTCTGCTTCCACAAGAGCTGGCCTACCGCTGTTGCCTCCCAAATGTATGTGTCAAAGTTCGTGTCTTTCAAAAAATTGTTTGCATTTGTTTTTACGGAGCTCTGCCCTTTCAGCAGATCTTGTCCCTGCTTCCAGTTCACCGTATAGGAGATCCTTTGGAATGTGACTGTTCTCCATGTGAAAGACATTTCGCAATTAGCCCAGGCATCTTTGCTTCAGTCCAAACTCACTACGCTCTCCACACTCAATACATGTATTTATCAATGCATATCAAAAATACCAAACTAAAGGGGAAGACAGTGGCTCTATACTTTGGTCTCAAAAATGGAGCCCCGGAACCCACCTGGTGAGAACAGTAGGATCTCATGACTCACCTTGTGAAAGCATGATAGTAGTACACCCGTCCCTCAGCATCCTTGGCAGTTTTCCAGTTGGGTGGTAGTTTGGTGACAGGAACAGTTGGTGGTGATGGTGGAGGTGGCACCTCCTCTTCAAAATCAATTTCTAACAGATTGGTATTTTGTGGTGTAGCAGGCAGGTGTTGAGGCTGTGGCTATAAGGAACAACAGAATTTGTTATGAATGAACAACAGAACAAGTCAGGAATACAAATACCTTCAGGTTTTTAAAGCTTGAACAACATATGGAACTCTAAATTATATAATTTTAAAACCATGTTACATATTTTCAATGTTATTACAAACCTAGCATCTGCCATTGAAAGTTGGAGATCCAATAAAGACATTAAATGGATTCTAAAATAAATGCCTAAGGAATCTGACAAAAATTGAATGAATTCAACAAAAGTAAATAATTAGGAGAAATGCCTTGACAGATGCTTGTGTCAACATTTATTTGACAAAGTTGATGGTAATATATTGGGAACATCATGTGGAATGAATGCAGTTTGTAATTCCAAGGTCCATGGTTTAATCCAACAGGCGGCTGACTCTCTAGCGTAGTCGGCTAAACCGGATTGCGCGGTGAGCGGGTGATGAACTCCTTGTGGTCCGGGTTCACTTCCGGGGGTGGGCAGAAAAGCCACATTTCTCCCAGATTTACGGTATTTAAAATGGAATCAAGGCCGAAAGGTTGCGATATCCATAATAGCGAGCCTAACTAAGGGTTACATTAACAACTCATGGCTTCTGGATACTAAAACAAACAAACAATCCATCAGACAGCAAACTGCCTTGCATTGGTTTCAAAAGTGTTATTTATCAACAGCCAACCTCTCAGAAAGCAATGGCAAACTAGTGAATGTAACATGAAGGTAAAATTTCCCAGTGAAAGCACAAACACCTAAAACATGCTGGGATTGGTTCTGCAGCATCCTGTACATGACATGCAACTAACTTTTCTTTTTATGTGTTTATCATCATCTCATAACACCGCTGGGTCACCTGTCTGATCAGCTCCTTCCACCTTTGATGGTCAGATGTGACGGACTTGACGGTTTCATGGCGGGTTGTGTTGTGGTTTACGACCCGGCTATGATATCTATGATCTTCACATGTATGATGCGAAACAATGAACTCAGTGATATGTTTATTTCAGTTGATATAGTTAATTCTGAGCTTCATTATTTATTGATGTAATATATACCTGATAAGAAATTGTGAAATACACCAGGCAATGTAAAGGACAATGCACTTGTTTGAGTCAATATTCAAAGTAAGAAAACATGGAATCAAGAAAGAAAGCAAGAGCAAAGACAGAAAGAATACCCCCAAAAAACCCAGAAATAATTAAAGAAAGTGACAAATTCAAAGAAAGAAAGAAAGAAAGAAAGAAAGAAAGAAAGAAAGAAAGAAAGAAAGAAAGAAAGAAAGAAAGAAAGAAAGAAAGAAAGAAAGAAAGAAAGAAAGAAAGAAAGAAAGAGGCATGCTTCAAGGTAAAAAAAAAAAAATACACACACCTGTTGCTGTGGCTGGAAGTTCAGTGAGGCTGCCTGTCCTAGCCCAGGAGGATTGTGTTGATGGGGTGGCTCTATGGTAGGGTCAAACTGTGGAACATGTTGAAGATTTGGATGAGGCATCAGTGGCTCCACTGGGTGCTGCAGAAGCTGGCCAGTCATAGGGTCAATCTGTGGTGGGATGGGCTGTCCTGTCAACTGATCCATCTGATGAACTGGCTGCCCAGTTTGAGGATCAATATGATGCAGGACAGGCTGCCCAGTCTGAGGGTCAAAATGATGCAGGACAGGCTGCCCAGTCTGAGGGTCAATATGGTGTAAGACAGGCTGCCCAGTCTGAGGGTCAATATGGTGTAAGACAGGCTGCCCAGTCTGTGGGTCAATACGATGTAAGACAGGCTGCCCAGTCTGAGGGTCAATACGATGTAAAACGGGCTGCCCAGTCTGAGGGTCAATATGATGCAGGACAGGCTGCCCAGTCTGTGGGTCAATACGATGTAAGACAGGCTGCCCAGTCTGAGGGTCAATATGGTGTAAGACAGGCTGCCCCGTCTGAGGGTCAATATGATGTAAGACAGGCTGCCCAGTCTGAGGGTCAATATGATGTAAGACAGGCTGCCCAGTCTGAGGGTCAAAATGATGCAAGACAGGCTGCCCAGTTTGAGGGTCAATATGATGTACGACAGGCTGCCCAGTCTGTGGGTCAATACGATGTACGACAGGCTGCCCAGTCTGTGGGTCAATATGAGATGGATGATGCATAAGTGGTTGCACAATGTTATGGTCAATGACTGGTTGTCCCATGTTGGGGTCCATAACTGGCTGGCCCATGTTTGGATCAACAACAGTCTCATTTGGAATGGGCTGCCCAGTATGAGGATCTTGGAGACCCTCAGAAGGAATCATGCTGGGATCCAGCCCAGTAAGACTGGGGTCACCCTGCTGCTGTTGATGAAAGTAGAAGTACTGGGGGTCATCCAGCAGCCTTTGCTGATGAAGAACGTATGCCTCCTGCTGGCGCTGGTACTCTTCTGCATATGCCTGGGCTGCCATTTCATCTTCTTTCTTGACCTGAGCCTCAAACAACTGTCTGCGTTCTTCTTTGGACATCTTGGGTGCGTTGGATTTTCTTGAGTTGGAAAAAAAAAATACACATGAAAGAAGTCATACAAAATAAGTAAACCACATCATTTTACATCAGCGCAAAAAAAAAAAACATTTTATGTAATAAATCTGTCTCTGGAGGTATGACCTCAGGGATCTACATGGCAAAGTGGCTGTCTGCTTCATTCTCTGAAAACTGTGGGTTCAATTCCAGAATCCATCATTTGGTTCACAAATGGGGTTTCGAGATCTCTGGAGGGGGGGGGGGGGGGGGGGTAACTGTTTGAGCTGTAGAACTCATGCTTTGTGCAATATTCTTACGTGTGATCAGCTGCTCTGTGGAGCTAGATGAAAGTCATATAGGATAGAACACAGTGCAATGAAGTCAATCTTATTGCCTTTAAACACCTTTTAGAAATAAAAGAACTCTTCCATGCAATACAGAGTAAAATTCACAGACAGGTGTGAATCCCGAATAATGGGAAAAAAAATTCTTTAAGGCCTTAAAGATGTAATTCTACAGATAAATATTGAAAAATTACTTGGTCAGCCAAAATGTTTAATTTAGACATTTACAAGAAGATTTACAAACATCATAAATAAGCAGGAGTGTGAAGGAAACGTAGGAAATACCATCGTCATGTATAAACAAAAAAAAAACAAAAAAAGCCAGCTTTGTTCAAAAGAGAAATAAGCTCCTTCTCCTCAGAGAGCAAGTTACATCAAAGAGATACTTTGTTCAGTCATAGGGTCCCCCAATTTTATATGGGTGAACAGGAATTCTGGGTCAGATTCTCTTGGACTGACAACTGAAATGTGGTTCATTGGGTCACCGCAGTAAATCTTCCAGCAGCCACCCTGGAGGGGAAATACCTCAGATCCACAGTGCCCTCTGATTTGCTCTGACCCCTCATTTGCAAAACAAGACTGGGTCCTATTCACATTTCTTGGCCCATCTACACACTTTCCCAGTCTGGTTGAGGTCAGAGGGGTGCCATGTTGTACTGTTTTCTTCTAAAAGAATCTCTCGTGGGGCCTAGGCTCAGGCTGTGGGTGAGGGTGGGGGGTTTGAGTTAGGGCCAGTTCTAGATGTTCTGGGGTCGCTAAAAGCTTTGTCCTCGTGTAGTACAGAACATGCAACATCGGCGCTGATGGAACTGGAGGCAAGACAATGTGACACCTCTTTAACGTAGAACAGTCTGAGAAAGCATGAATGAAAGGTCAGCCAGTGTAGTTGGGCCGGGAAACGTGAATAGGACCCAGTACTGTATCTAATGGCTCTATGGTAGTATGATATCAACTTACCTGTCGTCATCTTCTAGAGCTTTCTTTCTGGATCTCACTTTGCTTCCCTTCCATTTTGCATATGGATCTGTCAGAAAAATAAAACAAATATAAAGTGAACATATAAAGGCCTGAAGTCAGTCTTATCATTGTTACAGCCAATCAAAATATATCACTTGCACCTAGCACAAACTAAACCAACAATTTTACACAATAAAACAAATTTAACATTTATGAAACAAATCTCACACAATGATACAGGTACCATAGGGGACAGATTGTATATACTACAAATATGTCACCTTGATAAGGGTACCATATGAACAGATTTATGTACTACGAATGTCACCTTGAAAAAGGTACTATAAAGAACAGACTGTATGTACTACAAATGTATGTCACCTTATATGCACTGCAAATATCACTTTGATACAGTGGATAGATTGTATGCACCACACATGTCACAATGATGCAGCTATGCGCCACACTACAAATGTAACCATGATAAAGTCACTATAGTGGACAGATTTATGTACTACAAATATCTAAATGATACAGGTATGTACATGTCACACTGATATAGGCATGTAACACAAATGTTACTCTGACACAGGTGATATCTATAAGGGAAACTAAATGTGCTATAAACTAGGAAAATTATTCATGCTACAATTACAGTCACACTTTTACCTGTATGACTCCTACAAATATTAATCACAGACTTTGTGTGTGATGGGAGAGGAGGGGGGTGTATGTATAAAACTGCACATGTAGCAAAATAAGCTACTCCAAAACAAATGTACACACAAAGATACAACAAATGATACTTTTATAAACAAAGATACAAATAAACACATTTTACACACAATGATACAACAAATGACATTTTACAGTGGGAAAAAAACAAAACGATTTTATACAATCAAAAACCCAAAACAAAAAAAAACTTTTATACAATCAAACACCCCCCCCCCCCCCCCCCCTAAAAAAAAAACTTTTATACAATCAAATACAACAAAAGATGTCTTTACAATTTGATATATAAAGACATTTTTACATAAAGAGATAAAAAAAAAAAACCACTTTAGACACTAACCATACAAACCATACAAAACAAGATACACTCAAAAGCCATGTTACACAGTGAAATACATTTTCTACACAAAATGCAGTTAAGATTTTTACCTGAAGTTTCCAGATCTTTCTTGTATAAAACATCTGTAATGCAAGAAAATATCTGAATTGTGAATTTGCATTAAACACAACTTTTTTTTTTTTTTTTAAAGGTTAGTTGCTTATCCTTTACAGGACGTTGTGTGGTTTCACTAGGCAAATTTACGTCCAATAGTTTGCCATTGCTTTCTGGACGGTCGGCTCCCTGATACCACTGTCAAAACCAACGCAAGGCGTATGGCCTGCAGCTGGAATCGAACCCGGAACCCCGGCATTACAAAGCGTTCGCATCGACTTAGCGACAGAGCCGACAAACACTACTAAATGATTTATTAAAAATACTATGCTGATGTTTTGGAGGGGCCTAATCATGTAACAGGGTAGAGCAAGTAGATTGGCTGATTGGAGAAACTTCCACGTATTCGACTGGTCATAATTTGCTACGTTATAAGAATGTTCTATAAGTCATTTGTGTTTAAAAAGGTGGCTTAGAGGATAGAAAAGATTTGAAAAATACGACCACTTTACGACAGTCGGTGTGAAAGTGTAAAGAAATATCTATATGGTTACATTTCTTGGGGGCAAAATATTAATAGTCAGGACGCCCCCGTTAGATATTAGTATAGTGAGAAGAATTATGCTGATCATCTAACTCCTCCCTCCGAGACTATAGAGCTCTAAAGGATTCCAGGATTGCAGTCTGTAAGATTATTACATCAATGAGACAGAAAAAACAAATTCCAGAAACCTCACTCAGCCGCATACATTTTCTAACATATGAGAGCCGCAAATTTAATAAAATTACTACTATCTACATTTGTTTTTGTGTCTGTGTTTGGTTAGCTGACAGGTGGGTCATAAAACAGGTTCCTCTGTTTGGTTAGCTGACAGGTAGGTCATAAAACAGGTTCCTCTCTTTGGTTTAGTTGACAGGTGGGTCATAAAACAGGTTCCTCTGTTTGGTTAGCTGACAGGTGGGTCATAAAACAGGTTCCTCTGTTTAGTTAGCTGACATGTGGGTCATAAAACAGGTTCCTCTGTTTGGTTAGCTTACACGTGGGTCATAAAACAGGTTCCTCTGTTTAGTTAGCTGACATGTGGGTAATAAAACAGGTTCCTCTGTTTGGTTAGCTTACACGTGGGTCATAAAACAGGTTCCTCTCTTTGGTTAGCTGACAGGTGGGCAACAAAACAAGTTCCTCTGTTTGGTTAGCTGACAGGTGGGCCACAAAACAAGTTCCTCTGTTTGGTTAGCTGACAGGTGGGCCACAAAACAAGTTCCTCTGGGCGATTGGCCATGGCTGTAAAACATGCTAAGGAACACTTCCGTTGACCAACTTTACTCACTGTCATCTATCACAACACACCTGGCAGGATGCAGTGTAAGTCTCCTTTGTTCCCTTAATAAGTAACCCACGCTTACTCTTTTACTGTTTCGGAGGTCAAAGGAAATATGAGATTCATCTTCTTGCTCTTCTGACCATCTCACCATGGACCCACTATCCTGTTGGAGAGTTTCTATGATGTTATCTTTCCATATTGTTTTTTGGTTTACCTCATGATATGCATCTATTTTCCACAATAAATAGAAAATACCACTAGCCCCTATGCATACAATCATAGACTGTGAATATTAACTTAGCACAGATTATATGTCCCCTTAAAAGATGAGGTTTTTTTAAAGCGTTTATGTTCCCTAGCTGTATAAAAATTACTATGATTTACTGTGGCTGGAAATGTAGTTGTAATTCAAGCATTGTAATTAATATTCATCTGTGGTTGATTATGTTTACTATTACTTGTTAACAGATGTATGAATGAAATGATCTATGAAAGGAAGGAGATTAGGAAGGCAGAATGTTAGACGTGCCTGCGTGCCCAATTCTTAACCCTTTGAAAATTAAGTTTGCTTATTCATTTGTTTGTTCATTCATTTGTTCCCTCTCATCTGTTGGTGTAGGCCTCGTATTATATAATGAGCTGCACTGATGAGGCAAAATTCCTGCCAACATAGGGAACTGAACTTCAGAACAGTGTTCTGCTAGATCTAACCATTAAGCCATCATGAATTCTCCAGCACACAAAGCTAACAAGCAGAATAAAGTGGTAAAACTTACCCAACTCCATCTCTGTTTTCTTTCTTTCTTCTACTCTGACTCTTTTGGGGATCTTAAATACCTCCTAGGAATACAACAGGACAACATTTTAGTAATAAGGACATGACATCATTTGCATTTTAGAAAACAAAAAGAGATCACTAATACTGATCATCATCATTATCATGAGCCTTGTCAAATGGCATCAGCGCTCATGTCCCTTCACATATCTCTTGGGCGGTCGGATGTGTCTTTCATCCCACTGGCCAGACAAGTGACATCAAGAATACATCAGCTAAGTGACTATGTATTTGTGTTAACTTATGTAATGTGCCTGTGAAGGCTTTCTAGCAGCAATATTCACTTGTCTTTGTTTGTGGTAATGTGAAGTTTAATGGTTCTACTTTTCGTCTGCTTGCTATCTTTTTGCGCATCTTGCACCCGGGTGTTTTTTTTAATCTATTCTTCTTCTTCTTCTCGTTCTTGATTTCTGGACTCTAGTCCTGTTCCAGAATTTGAGTTTTACCTGCGCATCCATTTGACAGATCCGGCTCATCTGTAAGCAGACTGATGGTTCCTGGCCTGTCAGGCCAGATTTAGAAGGAAACACCCCTAATCAGTATAGACTTTTACATGTTTCTTGGGGAAGCAGTGGACCACATCTATGTTAGGGGGAAGCAATGGGTCCTGGGATTTGCTGAAAATAAATGTGTTGGGCTAAAAGGTGAAGATATTGCAGCTTAGCAATAAACCACAACATAATGTGTCAACTGCTCCTGAAAGCGTGAATGCAGACGAAGAACCGTTCATTACTATGGCTTTCCAAGGTATTCACCCTCTTAAGAGTGTGTACAGAGTACTGACTGATTTAATGTAGTCATACATATTCTGCTGGCAGAGAAAAAATGTACTTAGTTATTACGACTGTCTTGATCAACTGCAAGAATCAACTTGCTGCAGAAATTTGAAACAAAAACAAAAGGCAAGTGCAATATTTTGGCCCTATTAACAATCATCACTCCAAAAAAAAAAACTTATACTAGAGGGAACAGCGGGCAGGTAAGAGTTGGACGGTGATAAACATAGGAGGATACCATCAGGAGATGGATAACAACTTATGTTCAATCAATCAGGTGCCAAAGAGTGGCTGGCCAAGTGGACATAACACTGAGCTCTCATGTGGGATATTCAGGTTAAAGTTCTCTGTAAAGTGATGGGTTTTAAATATCAGGGCAAACTTAGAACATTCCTACCCGTACAACCCACACAACTGCACTAGCCACACAGCCTTTAATCTTCACGCTCAAGAACCCCCTGTCCTACACTGACCTCATGCGCAGTACAGACAGAAAACATGCGCCCTCTCCGCAGTGAAGGTTGGCTGCAATAAATCTTCAACTGTCCCTCATCCTAGCTTGTCAGACTGTTATTCATCCATCTCAGAGAGTGCACAACCAGGAAGAGATGCAATCCATTTGCAGCCAACCATCAATGCGGAGACAGCACTTGACTAAACATGATCTTTAAGCTATTCTGACAATTTAAAAAAAAAATTTTTTTTTATTTACTATAGTGACATAACTGAACTACATACCTTCAGCGAGCTCCACTGAGATATACATTCTGCAGCCAGTGATGCCAAGGGATCTTTGATCAATGCCTCCGTGTCCGAGTTGTCAGTGTCGCTGGCAGACCCAGAACTGCTGGTGGAGTCTGCCATGTTACTGGAGAGGCTGTCATCAGACTTGAGCTCACACTGGAGCAATCTCTCTGCTGCCGTGCCTGAAAAATGATGCAGCTGAACAACTGAACAAAACCTACTTGTGGTAACATGTAATCAGAAATTTATGGAAACAACTGACAGAAGCAAACAAACTACTCTTCTTCTTCTGTCCCTTTTCCTCCAATAGATAAAAGTTTATTTGCAGCCTTTTTTCCAATACTGTTCATGTTCAATTAGTTGGCTGCCATATGGTGCTTAGCATAACTGTAAAGACTGATCTAAACTCACTGGGTGATATGACAAACATCATGCTGGCCGTCTTTACTTCCTGGCACCGACTATATGCTGGGCTGAATTGAATATAAAAATCAACCATACCACAGATTCAAACCCACAAACCAGGTCAACAGACAAGAATCTAGGCACTGTGCCACCATAGTTTTTCAGATGGTTATGCACTTCTTCCTCTGCCATGTTACTTACTGCTAGATCCATGGGTCCCTGACTCCCTCAGTTGTAAGCATCTCTGACAACAGTAAAGCAGAGAGATACTTGGCAGGTAATAACATATGAGATAATAAAAACAGACACATTAACATAATTATAACTTTAACCTGACAGCACCTTGAAAAAAGATTAGGGCCAGAACATATCATATATTTGTAATCTCTCTCTATCTCTGCACATCTGATTATTGTTAAGAGTAGTCTTCTTCTCCTCCTTTGCATTCACCATCTGTAAACTCTGGCAGAAAATTCTGGTAGTTTGTCCACTTCTGGACTTTGGTCTTGTTCCAGAACTATAGTTTTGCATACACAACCATTTTACAGATTTAGCTTATTTGTATGCAAATCGTCGGCTGCTTGCCTCTCAAGCAAACAAACTCCGACTTCAAAAAGCACCCCCTAAAAAGTTGAATTTTAAGGAGGTAGAGTGTCTATTGCCCCAGAACCCAGAGTTACAATAATAACAGAGGATTTTGTTCTTACAAACAGTGCTCTTTTAGTCAATACACCAGTTTATTCATTGCCTCAAACTCCTGCATGACCTGGACAATACATCCACGGAAATGTAAATACTACAATGATTACCTCAACCTTCAGGTTGTAAACCTAAAGCCATAGCCCTCTCTAATGTTTCTCCATCTTGTAGTAGTAGAGACGCTTGGGAATTTCAGTGACAGCTTAGCTAAATGGTAGGGTGTACCATAGTCACACAGCTTAAATAAGAGAAATCAGACATACAGGTACAAGCCTGTTGCCTTGCAGATAGACTAGGGACAGTCAAAGACTAGGAAAAGTAAACCCCCCCAAAAAAAAAGCTTTAAGAAATCAGATGTATTAAGCCACAGGTTTGATAAACAGTGCAACATAATATGCGCCATGATACCCTATTCTGCTCTGCTGTCCTCTTCTCATGTACTCTTGCTGGCTTCCGGTCAAAATGGACGCTAGGCATGGCCACTGTTTTGAGCAGCAGCACATTTTTTGCTTCTGCCAAATGGTGGCCATTGCATTTTCGCTCCATCTTTAAACTAAAAGGAAATAGTTTAGTCGCCCAGCTTCTGAGTTGAGAGCATGTTTGTGACCAACATGGCGGTGTGAATTGTAGTTTCAGAAAATGGCGCGATGCCTGTTGTCGCAATATTGGTGGTGCCATTATGTGATTAAAATTGATCATGTGTGCACCTGCTGATCTGTTGGTGACTTCGGCTACCATCAATGATGAACTGCATTTCTAATGTCGGACTGTTTGTGTTAGCACTTCGGATGGCAACTGTATGCTTTAAATGCGTGTGTATGCTAGTGCATATGCAGAGACAGCAATCTGTCAATCTTTCTACAAGGGACTCTGATAAACATTCTATGTGTTTTTCGTTAGAACAGGAGCGGAGCAACTATGGGGTGACCCGTTTGCTATTAAGATGAAACTAAGATTACCAGACTACCAAATTATCCGCTTTTGCAGAGAAACGAGAAACTCCAGCCATCACCTTGATGTAAGGAACTAACAATAAGAAAAAAGTATAAACTGTAATGAGCAATTCAGGCTCTGAAAGATTTTAAAAAGACAAGAGAAAATATCACAATACCTTCTAAACCATCTGTATCACCAGTGCCTTGGGTAGATGATGAAATGTCGTCATTCTCATCCATGTCCTCATGTGGCTCCGGAGAAAACGTTGACTCTTCATGCATTTCAGCAAAAGTCACTCTCCTCTTTCCCTTAGCATCTCTGCTGGCTTTGGCCGAAGCCAGGATGGAAACAGGAGTAACTGTGTTAAGAGAAGGGAGAAGAGGAGGTGGAGATGCTGGCGGTGAAGATTCTGAAGATGTTGTAGCTTCAGGTTCTACTGCAGCAGGCGTCTCTGTGTCTTCTATGACAGATGCTGCTTCGTAGACAGATGTGACTGGGGGAGACACAGCAACAGCTTCATTGTCAGTCAGCGCCGTGGTTGTGTTTGCAATGCTGTCTGCCGCAACCGTAGATAATGTCACCAGGGTTGTTGCTGTAGTTGCTGGCGGGGGAGGTGGTGGGGGTTTCCTTGCTGCAACTACTGCTGCAAAAGCCCATCTTTCTACGACATCAGGTATCTTGCTTTCTTTCAGGGCTGTCTTGTTGGTGATTGGAAGACCCTTCAGCACAGACAGCATCTGGGGAAAATGCCATCAAAAGAAAATTTTTAAGGCTTTAAACAACATACAAAGTACAATAACAATTTACATTCCTTAGAATATAATCCACATATAAGTCTAACAAATCAATACATTCTAGCAGTTTCTTTCAACATCTAATAATATTACTGTAGAATCTACCAGAATAGTTATCACCTTCCATTATTATAGTATCAGTTTCTACAATTCTGATTAATCAGTCTCACAGATCACCTTTCATTATTTTGTTATCATGATTCTTCAGTCTCACTTCATTTTTCTGGTATCATGATTCTTCATGTTCAGTCTCAAAGATAATTTTTTTTATTAATTTGGTTATCATAGTTCTTCAGTCTCAAAGATAATGTTTCATTATTTTGGTCAAATTTTATCTACCATTCGTTCATTACCATTTTCTTGCCTCACAGATCACCATCAATTATTTTGGTGTCAGATATCATATATCACTCTTCCCTTACCATCTTCCAGTCCCACAATTTTAGTACAACCACTAACCTATTTACAGATCTCCTTCTGTTTATTCAGGATTATTTTATCTTCTACCTTACCATCTAACGATCTTCTACCATTTATTACCTTGCCATCTTATGATCATCTGTCATTATTATCTTATTATCTACTATTTATTAGTAAACTTTTGACCTTTCACCATTATTATCTTGCCATCTTATGATCATCTGTCATTATTATCTTATTATCTACTATTTATTAGTAAACTTTTGACCTTTTACCATTATTATCTTGCCATCTTATGATCATCTGTCATTATTATCTTATTATCTACTATTTATTAGTAAACTTTTGACCTTTTACCATTATTATCTTGCCATCTTATGATCATCTATCATTATTATCTTATTATCTACTATTTATTAGTAAACTTTTGACCTTTTACCATTATTATCTTGCCATCTTATGATCATCTGTCATTATTATCTTATTATCTACTATTTATTAGTAAACTTTTGACCTTTTACCATTATTATCTTGCCATCTAACAATCACCTATCATTATTATCTTATTATCTACTATTTATTAGTAAACTTTTGACCTTTTACCATTATTATCTTGCCATCTTATGATCATCTGTCATTATTATCTTATTATCTACTTTTTATTAGTAAACTTTTGACCTTTTACCATTATTATCTTGCCATCTAACAATCACCTATCATTTATTATCTTATGAACTACCATTTAATTTCTTGTCATTTGATGATCTTCTACCATTTATTACCTTGCAATCTTATGATCTTCTACCATTTATTACCTTGCAATCTTATGATCTTCTACCATTTATTAACTTGCCATCCTATGAAGATCTATAATTTATTACCTATAATTATTAATTATCACCTTATGATCTTCCATTTATTAGCTTGTCCTCTTACGATCTACAATTTATAACCTTGCCATCTTATGAACACTTACCATTTTATTATCTTGACATCTTATGGACCTGTGTCTAAGCCCTTATGTACATTGGGAATATAGGGCTAGACACTTTTTTACAGATCTGCATTTGATGATCTTCTACCATATATTATTTTGTAATCTTATGATCTTCTAATATATATTATTTTGTAATCTTATGATCTTCTAATATATATTATTTTGTAATCTTATGATCTTCTAATATATATTATTTTGTAATCTTATGATCTTCTAATATATATTATTTTGTAATCTTATGATCTTCTAATATATTTTATTTTGTAATATTATCTTCTACCATTTATTATTTTGTAATCTTATGATCTTCTAATATATATTATTTTGTAATCTTATGATCTTCTAATATATATTATTTTGTAATCTTATTATCTTCTACCATATATTATTTTGTAATCTTATGATCTTCTAATATATATTATTTTGTAATCTTATGATCTTCTAATATATATTATTTTGTAATCTTATTATCTTCTACCATTTATTATTTTGTAATCTTATGATCTTCTAATATATATTATTTTGTAATCTTATGATCTTCTAATATATATTATTGTGTAATCTTATGATCTTCTACCATATATTATTTTATAATCTTATGATCTTCTAATATATATTATTTTGTAATCTTATTATCTTCTACCATTTATTATTTTGTAATCTTATGATCTTCTAATATATATTATTTTGTAATCTTATGATCTTCTAATATATATTATTTTGTAATCTTATGATCTTCTAATATATATTATTTTGTAATCTTATGATCTTCTAATATATATTATTTTGTAATCTTATGATCTTCTATCATATATTATCCTGTCATCTTATAATTTTCTATCATATATTATCCTGTCATCTTATAATCTTCTACCATATATTATCCTGTCATCTTATAATCTTCTATCATATATTATCCTGTCATCTTATAATCTTCTACCATTTATTATCCTGTCATCTTATAATCTTCTACCATTTATTATCTTCTCATCTTATAATCTTCTACCATATATTATCTTCTCATCTTTTAATCTTCTACCATTTATTATCCTGTCATCTTATAATCTTCTACCATTTATTACTGTAATTTTTTTTCCCTATAATTTATTACCTTATATTATGATCACCTACCATTGATTATCTATTCACTTTATGATATACCATTTATAAACCCTGTTATCTTACGATCTTCTACCATTTATCATATTGTCAACTCGTATAAGTTATTAAATATATTGTCAATTTCTAGAGCAGCGGCTGGTCGAGGGGTTACAACTTCAGGCTCTCATGCGGAAGACCCAGGTTCAACCATCGGTAAGGGAATTTTTCTGTCAACAGCAAAATGTAACATCCTAACCTGTACAGTCCGCAATGAAAGCACTAGCCATGCGGTCCTAAATCTTCAGGCTTACAATCCCATCTACACAGCCCTAAAAAAAAGTGGTACACACAGTGACGGTGACAGTCATTTTCTAACACTGTCAAATTAACCCCCAATGAAAAGACTGAGCTTACCAGAAGCTTGAGCTCCTGTGTCTGAGCAGAGTAATCGGCTGTACCTATATCTGCCATCCAGCTCCACAACAGTGGAAGCCCATGGTAATCTAGGAACAGCCTTAGGCAGGCACTCTCTGTTGTGTCCTGAAACAAAGGAAACATAACACATTTGGATTTGACTAATAGATTATGATCATGCTGTGTAATGGCTGATACCCTGAAGTGTCACCAAGACAAAGAAAAACAAACATTGCTTTTAACCATGCATGCAATTACATGGTAACCTAAGAATGCTCAAATTCTTCTTCTGTCTACCAACTTCCAGCGAAACACTGACCTATGATCCAGCTCACACTAAGCCTTTATATTTACAGACTTATTCATGACTAGCCGTATGAGTCTACAGCTTACAGGTCAGTCAGTGTGTTTCAAAATCTTTGACACACCAGGGTTTGATTTCTATGGCAGACAGTTTAAAAAAGATGGTTCTTGTGGCTTTCTGTCAGTGGTATGATGATCACGCTGTGGAAGAGATTACTGCCTACCCATGTAATATTCTCAAAGACAACCGTAATCTGGTAATCTTAGTTTCAGCTTCATAGCAATCGGGTCACCCCATAGTTGCTCCGCTCCTATGCCAACAACAAAAAACACAGAATGTTTATCACAGTCCCTTGTGGAAAGATTGACAGACTGCTGTCTCAGCATATGCACTAGCATACACACACATTAAAAGCATACGGTAGCCATCCGAAGTGCCAACACATCCGAAGTGCTAACACAAACAGTCCGACATTAGAAATGCATTTCATCATGGATGGTAGCAGAAGTCACCAACAGATCAGCAGTTGCACACACAATCAATTTTAATCCCATAATGGCACCACCAATTTTGCAACAACAGGCATCGCGCCATTTTCTGAATCTACAATTCACACCACCACGTTGGTCAATCTAAAAACATTCCAAATTAAATCTGCAGCTCACAGTGTCACACCACGCATTCAACTCAGAAGCTCGGCAACAAAACTATATCCTTTCAACCTACAAATGGAGCAAAAATGCAACAGCCACCGTCTGGCAAAATAAAATTTAAAAAACTGTCACGACTCAAAACAGTGACTGTGCCTAGCGTCCATGCTGACTGGAAATCAAATTCAAAGACAACAACAGACCACTGCAGCCAACCTCTATTGTAGAGACAGGAAGTTTCAAGACTGGTTTTATAGCTAAAGTTCTCTTGGGAATGGAGCAAGTTTAATACTCAATCTTCTTAGTCATCTGCTCTGACGTGTGAGGTAGATCACAGCTTTTGCACTTTTATAGCATAACCATGTAGGATCCAGGGTGTCGCTGTGGTGCAGCGGCTAGATGCTCGCCTGCAGATGGGAAGGTCGCCGGTTTGGGTCCTGATGATGCCGGACCTTTCTGATGAAAAATGACCGTGGCTCCCAGGTTAACCCAGCCTTGAGTGGGTACCAGGTGCAGTCCTGGGAAACAAAGGTGGCCGGCATGATGCTGACCACATCACCCACTAAGTGCCAATTGGCCTTTAAAATAGAGGTCTAGCCCTATTTTCCCAACATGCCTAAAGGCATGGAAAAGGGTCCTTTACTTACATAGGATATTGTCTAACTCTTGTACCATGAGTCCTGCACTTTTTCTACATCTTTTATTTATCGATTCTCAGCCCCCCCCCCCCTCCAGTATCTCATAGTTTTTTTTAGACTCCGTCTCCTATCCCTAAGTATCTCATGCCCGGCTCGCTAGCGCAGTTGGTTAAACCGGACTTCGCTGTGACCGGGTGACGAACTCCTTGTGGTCCGGGTTCACACCTGGGGGTAGGTAGAAAAGCCACAATTCTTCCAGATTTACGGTATCTATCATGGAATCAAGGCAGAAGGGTTGTGATATCCATAGTACCGAGCCAAAGGGTTAACAACTCACGGTTTCTGAATACTTTAAAAAAAAAAGTATCCCATAGTTTTGTTAACTCTGTCTCCTGTCACGAAGTATCTCATAGTTTTGTTAACTCAGTCCCCTGTTCTCTCCCCCCACCCCCCAAAGTATCTCATAGTTTGTGTTAATTCAGTCTCCTGTTCCCCAGTATCTCATAGTTTTAACTCTGTCTCCTGTCTCCAAGTATCTCATAGTTTTGTTAACTCTCCTTCTCCAAGTATCTCATAGTTTTGTTAACTCTGTCTCCAAGTATCTCATAGTTTTGTTAAATCAGTCCCCTGCTCCCCAGTATCTCATAGTTTTGTTAACTCAGCCCCCTGTCCTACTGTATTTCATAGTCTTGTTAACTCAAACATGTCATGTTTTAAAACACAACAACTTGGGATATAATGAGAATAGTCACAACTACCAGTGAGAGAATGATAAAAAACACTTATGGTTTCAAGTACCTAATCAAAAAACAAACAATAAAAACACAATTCAACAACATTGGTGAGAACTCCTAAACAATTAAAAAATATATACCTGCAAAATCTTGAGAATGGCCATTCTGTGCTGTACTTTCTCAGCTCTGACCATAAGCCTGCACAGATCTAGCACGTGGTTCTTGTTTCTCATCCCATCCAGCAGGGACAGCTCTTCAATGTCCTCCTCTAGCTAGAATCCAAGGTTACAGTCATGTTTATTGTACAGGTTACTACAACAGGGTGTTATAATTAACTGTTTGTAATGTGAGATTTGCTATATAACTAAAACAATTGTTAATAAACTACAAATATTCATTAACTGGTGCCTGCGAAAAAGTAAATGCTATGATAGAATCACTAATGTGGAGCTGTGCGAAAGAGCTAAACAAATTCTAGTGAATCAAGAGATGAAGAAAAACTGTCGATGTTGGATAGTACATATGATGAGAAAACCTGGGAACTATATACATATATATATATATGAATATATATATATATACACACACACAGAGAAAGAGAGAGGGGAGGGAGGGGAGGGAGAGAGAGAGAGAGAGAGAGAGAGAGAGAGAGAGAGAGAGAGAGAGAGAGAGAGAGAGAGAGAGAGAGAGAGAGAGAGAGAGAGAGAGAGAGAGAGAGAGAGAGAGAGAGAGAGAGAGAGAGAGAGCTTTTCACTGAAACCCACAGGGGCACAGTAATGACAGTAGACTCCCAAAAACACACACATGGAGCAGGGAACTTTAGGGTGTGAAATTAAAAAGTGAAAGAGGATAGGAGGTGAGCAACATGTGATAGGAAAGGATAGGACAGCTTGGCGTTAAGCTGGCTGAGAGTCAATGCTCCAATGTAGAAAATGTAAAATTATACTAGGCGTCAAGGTAAATGCCAACACGTCCGTGTTGAATGTCTGATGTAATGAGCCTTTTGAAACCCACTGTCTTGTGTTTTCACATTCCACTCAAACAGGTAATGTTACATCAGGTAGATATTTACTTAAAGTTTACTGAAGATTCTTTTTAAAATTCTGAAATATTGAATTAACTGTGGTATTTGAAGCAAGTAGACACTGAGTCACTAAAAGTTGACAAAACTGACTAAATATTGAAATATCTGTGGAAGATTTGAAGCAGGTAGATACTGAGTCACTCAAAGTTGACCAAAGATTGAAATATCTGTGTAAGATTTAAAGCAGGCAGATACTCAGCGATACAAAGTGCTAACTAAGGACTGAAGGTGGCGGGGAAAACAGGCAGCAGGTAAATAATGAGCCACACAGTTTACAAAACATTAAAATACCTGTGATAGATCATAACCATGCAGATATTAGGTCATATTAAGTGCACTAAAGATTGAAGGTCGGCGTGAAGATCTGAATTAGGTAGTTATGCAGAAGTGAGCCATGATCTGAAGTGGTAGTAAAAAGTAAAGGAACCCTTTTCCACTGGGCATTTTGGACTAGACCTATATTTTATAGACCAATCGCCACTTGGTGAGTGATGTGGTCAACCTGATGCCGGCCGCCTTCACTTCCCATGATCCTGTCTGATACCCGTTTAAGGTGGGTTGAACTGGGAGACAGTCATTTTTAAAACAACAACAAAAGCCTGCTCCAGCAGAAAGTAGACCAGGACCTAATAAACTGGTTTCTCACCAGAAACTGACAATTTTACTGTCCCATTTTAATCTGTCTATATAAATATACATCTTACCAGCTCATCCTTGAAAATCTCTTTCTTCTTCTTCTCCTTCTTTCTGTTATTTCGGGTTGGAGATTTCACCAAGCCAATGTAGCCTCGACAGTTTTCTGCACCACAGTAACACTTTTGTGCTTCCCTGAAAGAAAACAAGTCACAGTCTGGGTTAGGGCAAGGAACCAACAATCTGCACACAAATAACAAGCTAGATCTGTAAAACAGATGTGTACACAAAACTCAAGTTCTGGAACAAGTCTAAAGTCCAGAAGTGGACGAACAGCCAGATCTTTCCTCTGGAGCATACAGCTGGTGAACTATTTTATTAATAGTTCTGTGGGTATATCTCAGGTTTTTATTTATTCTTACTTGCTTTAGCCTTTTTTAATTTTAATACAATATTCCACTTGATAAGCGTCAACTTCTACCTTTTATTAACATATATTTTAAAGTTTTCTGAGATTACTGGTGTAATTAAAAATTGTAGGGGCCTCATGGCTTCATTTACTTTAGGGCCACATCAAGTCTAAATCAGGACCTGCCTAGTTGAGCAAGTAAAAAGGTGCAGAGCAGATTGCAGATTCGATATTTAAAAAAAAAACTATGGTAATAAACTGAAATGAGAGGCCAACAATGACAAACTTCTCTCATCTTGATCATGTTATAAAAGTTGGTAGTTCAGGTAAAACAGAAATAAAGACACGAGGAATTGACATAAATATGTTCAAATTGAGAACAAAAATTTACATCTAGAAAGATAAAACACATTAACTCCTTAAGTGGGTAATTTAGATACACCCAACTGCTTCTGTAAGTGTTGGGTTTTTTTTGTGTTTTTTTTGGTTTTTTTTTTAAAGACTGTGCTGGAAGCGCAAGATACTTTCCAATACAATAAGATACTATCTATCTGACAAAATTAAAAAAACATGTCATGCATGTGGACAAAGGTATGCATATTAAACACAGACAGAATGAGAAAGAAGCAGCTGAAAAATACAATAAGATTTAACATAACTACTTACCCATAGTGCTCAAACTGATAATCAAATGTTAACTCCTCCCCTTTCTTGATTGGCTTTCTGGTGAAAAACCCAACTCTTAACTCTCCATTGACTGTCCACTGTAAAAATAGAAAGAAAGAAAAACTATGACTATGGTTTTTTGCTGCATGTAGCTGATATAACAACTGTTAAATTATTGCAGAAAGACTTAATTAGTGGTAAGTAAAAAATAAAGTTCCCTTTTCACGCCTTTTGGCGCATCGGGCATATGGGCAGAGCGTCCCATATTTTTACAGACCATCAGCACTCTGTGGGTAATGTGGTCAGCATTACGCCGGCTGTCTTTACTTTCCCAGGACAGCCCATCCTGGTACCCATTTTAGGCTGGGTCGACCTGCGACGTCCCATACCACGATAAAAATCCACGCAGCCTGCAGTGGGTTTCGATCGCGGTATGCTGGCTTACGAGTCGAACTCGTAACGCCTTAGCCACGGACGCCGCATTAATTAGTGGTGGAGTGGTCAAACTATTAGGTTCTGAAGGTGCTCCAATTTTTGGTACTCCAAAGTCCTTCGTAGCATTTCATAAAACTGTTTTAATGGACACTATCATATGCTTTTTTTAAAAATCTACAAAAACGTTACGGTCATCTCTTCTATATTCCCAATTTTGTTCTGCTATGTGATCTACTGTTGATCTGTTCTGTCAGAAACTTGCTTGGTAATCACCCAATATATCTTCAACATATTGTTTTAGCCTGTATAGCAGTACCAATCTTATAGCTTGCAGACAATGGTGATATTCCTCTATAATTTTCATATTTATATTTGTCTCCTTTCTTTAAAATGGGTATTAATCATCTTTCCACTCATGGGGTAATTTCTCCATCTTCCAAACTAGTTTTATTAATTCATACATCTTTAAATATAATGCATGACCACCTTCTTTTATAAGTTCAGCAGCCATTCCATCAGCATCAACTGCCTAATTGTTCTTAAGCGGTGTTGTTACATACAGTACTTTTTCTAAATCAGGCTCTTCAATATTTGGTTCACATGTTAGTTTCTCTTCCTGTGAATAAGTGTTTAGTGGAATTTCCCAATTTAACAATTCAGCAAAGTATTCCTTCTATCTGCTATATATTTCGACATTATTTACCATGTTCCCATTGTGGTGATATTTTAAGCTACAAAATGATGTGTTGATGCCCTCATTTTATAGCCAGCTCTTCAAAAAAAAAAAAACTTTCTGGATTCATAGTTCTGATGGTAACTTCCATATCCATGACAATGTTGTTCATATATTCTCACTTTTGCTGCCCAACTACTTTTATAGCTTCTTTACATTCTGTTCTATATTTTTCTTAGTTTTGTATGCTGCTATTAGCGATTAGCCATGTTTTTTCTTACTGAGTGTTTCTTCCCATTTTTAATTTAACCAATTCTTCCTGTTTATAGTTGACACATCAAGACATTCTTCTTCAGTGGTTTGAATTATATTCTTAATATCCATCCCGGTTTGGTCAACGTCTTTTTTTCTGACGGATTTTGTAAAATTTCACCTTTACATTCATCTGTAAATTTCTCCTTTATGGGTATTTTTGTAATCTTTTTCTATTGTACTCTGAATGTGATCTTTGCAACTTGGTGTAGGAGGACATCTTGAGCTTGATTTTTTAATTTTGCACAAACCAGGTAGTGGTCACTATGGCATTCTTCATTATGTCATCATTAACAAGTGATCTCCACTGCTGCCAGTTTGCTGCTTTTCTGTCCATGGCATCCTATGTCAGATTACATTCCTTCATTTCCCATTCTCTTGTCCTTCTCCAGGTTTTCTTAGGTCATCCATGTCTCCTTTTCCCATCTGCTATCCACCGAAGAGCTGTTTTTGCCAGAGAGTCACAGGGCATTCTGCAAACATGTCCAAGCCATCTCCATCGTCTTACTTTGATAACATTTGCCATTGATGCACATTTTGTTTTCCTCTTCAGTTCTTCATTTGTGATCTTGTTTGGCAAAAATATTTGTACAATTCTCCTTAAACATTTATTTTGAAAAGTCTCAAGTTTATATGTAATTCCCGCAGCCATTTTCCATCAATGTGTACAGTTATTTTCAATACTTCGCTGCATCTCAACAATGCATGCTACTGGACTTTAAGTAACATATAAGAATAGCAACCATGACATGGTGAGGTAATTGCTCCACTTGCCTCATAACCTGAAGGTTAGTATGTCAGCATTAAACACTAAGTGTGAAAAAGTCGTCATACCATTTGCCTCATGCTGTACAGTTGCAGGCTCAGTCAGTCAGACTACATCTCATCCTTCAGTTCAAAAGTGGTGATCATAGCCAGAGCCAAGGAGTTTTGTGTTATGTGTGATACTCCCCCAGCAAGTAGACCAAGCCAGAGCCTAAGAGTTTTGCGTTATGTGTGATACTCCCCCAGCAAGTAGACCAAGCCAGAGCCAAGAAGTTTTGTGTTGTGTGTGATACTCCCCCAGCAAGTAGACCAAGCCAGAGCCAAGAAATTTTGTGTTATGTGTGATACTCCCCCAGTAAGTAGACCAAGCCAGAGCCAAGAAGTTTTGTGTTATGTGTGATACTCCCAGCAAGTAGACCAAGCCAGAGCCAAGGAGTTTTGTGTTTGTGATACTCCCAGCAAATTAGACCAACAACTTAGTACACAGAGACTGAGCCATCTGGCATAAAAGCCGGTGCAAAAAAAGATGGCCTTTTGCTTTAAACCCCTTTAAGCCCAATTCTTGGCAAGCCTACAGCAGCCTCTCACGAGCAGCTAAGAAGTCTTCATTTTTGTGTTCACCAGATGTTAACTCCAACAGAAAGTTCTGGTTGTTCGTCCACTTCCGGACTTTTGGTTTTGTTCCAGAACTCAAGTTTTGCATGCACATCTATTTTATCATTAAATTTAATTGTGTATCCTTACCAGGACATTGCAGAACCAACCCCAGCATTGTTTGGCTGTTGTGGTTTTTCTAGGCAAACTTTACATTCAGTAGTTCGACACTTGGCTTTCTGAACTCAGCTCTCAGTACCACTATTGAAACCAATGCAAGACAAATTGTCCAAAGCTGGTATCAAACCCGGCACCATGGCAATATGAGGCGCGTTTGCAACACCTAATACGCCGGCCTATTTTATAGATCTGGCTTAATTATATGCAGACTGTTAGTTCCTCATCTCTCATAATATGCACTCCAACTTAAAAAAAAACACCCCTAAATAGCTGGCTTTTACGACACGCTCGTTTGGGGCAGTGGGTCTAGTACCCCCCAAATGGGGCCCTCGAACCCACACAGGAAGCCTGAGAAGTGAAGCACCAGAGGACTGACCAGAAAGACAAAAGCACTGTTGCCTACCTTCTGGGTCTCACAGTTAGGATCACAGCTGTGGTTGATGAATCTAGAGATGCTGCCTCTGAGTGTGGCATCAATGACTTCATCAGCATTCAGTGCCATAAAATAGTGATGAATCAGACCCGCCTTGGCGTACTGCCTGGTGCGGCGGACAAACTCCTCGTAGCCGAGCAACTCGCCAACATACTCCATGATAAATGTTCCCCTGAAACAAGAAATATGTCAACTAGCTGACAAGCCTCATTCTAAAGCCAGTAAATCAAACAATATTAGTCTCAGCATAATACTACACTACTACAGTAATGCTACTATTTTAACTTATACTTTCTGTCAGTGACTGAACAAGAAATGACTGGAATGCAAACAAGAACTAAACAAACATTTTTTGACTAAAATTTATTTCAGTGTACTTGCAATCTGAAGGAGGAATACCCTACTGATAAACAAACATATCAGCTGTCAAAATAACATGAGTTATGGCAGTCAAGCCAATTTTCCCAATCGTCGGCAGTAGAACAAAGAGACGTAGCAAAGAAACTGAAGGTTAGTACAATAATGTCGTCAGTTCAACCTATACAACAAACTAAAGATTGGTATAAAATCAGTCTGACCTACATATCAAACCAAAAGTTGGTATACAAATCTGTGAAATTAAAAATAGGGTCTTCAGTTTAACTAACTATAAAATTAAAGACCGGTAAAACAATGTCATAAGTCCGACATACTCAACAAAACTAAAGACGGGTACAAAAATGTCTTCAGTGTGACCTACATATCAAACCAAAAGTTGGTACAAAAATAAAAAATAAAAATAAACATAGCGTCTTCGGTTTACCTACCTATTAAACTATATGTCAGTAAATGTGAACAGCCATAGACCTTAGCCTTTTATCAAAAAGGAGCCTTCAACTACTGGCCACCTGGATTTCTCACTCACTGTAACTGTTTACCCCCAACAAAGCACTATATACATATCCAGCACGTTGAGTGATTTATTCTGTCAGCAACTGGTGGCACTTAACCCCTGTTGCCCCGAGATGCCAGTGATCTGGCATCATCCATTACAAATCCAGGTAAATGCCACTACACCAGCACCGGTCCACTGGCCTGCTCCTGACAAGCCTAGTTAAGGGTTGTTTACACCTGCAGTGTTCAGGAAGACCGGGTATGATTATATTTACTAAAAACAGCATTGGATGATGCTGTGGAAAGGGGGAAAGGGGGGAAGGGGGGGGGGTGAATCCCCATTGTGGGGGGGGGGAGGGGGGTTATGCTTTTTAGCCATTATGACATCATAACTTGCCTTTAGTCTTAGTGGTTGCATGGTGACGGGATGACGAGCTCATTAGTCATATATAGCTATGTATAAGCCCAGAGATGTAATCCTTTCAAAATCCGCTCCAACTGTGTTTAATAAGCACTCCCCTGCAAATATATTTATTTTTAATTTATAGACAATGTTTTTGTTTTTTTTATTGATTAGTTACTTGTGTAAAAGGGTTGCCAATTGTTAAGTTTTTTTTTTTTTAAATAGGAATTCCTAATTGTATGGTATTGTTCCCCATTCAGGGTTTTCAGAGCAAATGAGTTCAAGTTCAAATCCTGACAAGTGTTTGCCACAGCTTACTGACAGAGAAAATCATATATATGACAATGCCATCATCTGATGGCTAAGCAAGTGAGCTTATGCTAAATGCATGCTGAAAGTCTAAAAACTCCAGTACTACTCACCTTTCTTCCATATCCTCTTCAGCCCTCAAACCCCATCCTTTGTCTCCAGCTTTGAAAGGAAGTGTTCTGGAGTACTGCTTCTTCTGGAAGCGCTTATTGGTGCAGTAGTCACCACATGGGCATCTATATCCACTGCAATGAGCCACACATATAGGTCACAACATGTTACATTAGCTGCACATTTAGTTATAAAAAGACATGTAAACTATTATTGAACCTATCAGGTGTGAAGAAAAACTCAAGTGATCTGTTTCATGACTACTCACTAAATAACACATGGGTGCTCACCGCACAGACGTGCTCACTATCTACCACATGGATGCTCACTATCTAGCACATGCTCACTCACTAAACTGCATAAGGGTACCCACTATAAAGCACAAAAGTATCCACTATATAGCTCACAGATACAAAATTTATAGCTCATGGATACTAACTATGTAGGATACAGGTTTAGAAATCCTTTGGACAGCCAAAATCAGCAACCCATATGTCTTGAAAGAGGTGGGGGCTCAAAGACAACTTATCACAAACATCAGAAAGAGACTATCATTTTTTGGTCATGTTATGAGGAGAAGGAAACGAGCATGTTGTGCACTGGAAAGATCTGTGGAAATAGATTGAGGAAAACGAGTGAAGATTCTTGACAACCTTTTGTCATGGCATGGAGGGGTGTCAACACACAAACTGATACAAACAGTTGCAGATTGTAGAGAGGCACGATCGCCCATGCCAGTCAGCAAGGCACTTGATGATGAAGAGAAGGACATGGGTACTCACAACATAGTACATCTGCACCTTCTATGCAGCACAATCACACCCACTCTACACAGCACATGGGTACTATCTATGAAGGACATGGGTACTCACTATACAGCACAAGGATAATCTAGATAGCACATGGGTAATCCTACAACATCACATGACCTACTGTACAGACTAATGTTTGTAGGATCAGTGCAACATTCTTATCAGATGTTTCAGGTGCACGGTTTTTATTTAACAATCTGGATTAGCCAAAGTATGTATAAAAAATTGTTATAAAATTCAGTCAATCATTGTTTCAATTCATTTCTTTACATATTAATTTACATAAACACCCTGGCAGTTACCCTATTTTTCCTGTGTGTGTGTGTGTATTCTTTTCTTTATTTGCTGAGGAAGGCTTGTTTCAACATCCTTTGTTTATTCTGTGTTCTGAAAAGCTGACAATACTCTGAATATTTATGTTTTCTTTTTTACATTTATTTGCAAACAAACAAACCCCATGTAGTAATAGCCACATAAAGACAAACACATAAGCCTACCATTCAATCATGAGCATCCTGTTGAGACAGTCAGAGCCACACGCTGTGATTCCTTTGGACCTGTCCACTCGAGATGTTGTACAGTCACACAGCATCCGCTTCATGCTTTTGGATCTCTTCCTGCAATCAACACAAATATCTACATTATGCATTTGCAACACAGGAGTATAAGATTATATTTCCATTGTTATGGATATCCAAGACGGCACACATCTAGAGCCTGTATCTGCTATGGCTTAATTCACATGCCCAGGTCTACAATCTGCTATGATTAAACTCAACGTAGCCCATACCTTGGCTTGTACAAGAGGCATTTTTTCTCACAAACTATCTGCACAAAATTCACCAATAATATTCCCTGTGTAGGTTCCATCGCTCCAGGAACAAAAATAGACCCAATGTTCTCCCTGAGAAGCATGTCTTAGGAAGCATATACCTGAGAGGCAAGGAACCAACAGTCTGCATACAAAGAACCAACAGTCTGCATAAAAATAAGCCAGATCTGTAAAATGGATGTGAACTCAACACTTCTGGATCAAGACCAAAGTCCAGGAGTAGAGGAACAACCAGAACTTTCTCCTGGAGTTTCCAGCTAGTGAATGCTAAGAAGAAGAAGAAGAAAAAGACACATCTCAATTTCCTATATAATCTCAATCCACTTCTATGACCTAAATTAAAAGCATAACAAGGACATGCACGCCTTGCTTGTATCAGTTTTTTGTTTTCTTTTCTTTTCATATAAACATTTCTTCCCAGCAGGAATAACATTATCAGGTCTGCCTCTCCACTTTCTGAAGCTTCAACTCTCTAAACCCAACAACCAATGGTGGGCCAACCAACTGCACTTCCATAAGCAGCACACAAAAGTTTAAGAATGTTCACCATTTCTTTTTTTCCACCACCAGAAACTGTATACCAGTTCACTGTTTGTAATGTGCACCGTCCCACTCACTACTGTAACAAATTAATACAGCTGCTCTTTTTTTTGCGGAATGAGTTGCCATTTAATACACACAATACTGACATTTTTAAACTTGAAGTGAAGGAATTTTATCTTTTTGTCTTTATTATTTGATAGGAACAAATATGGAACATTACATTTTTAATGCCCCACGTAGTTTGGTTCAATGAAACATTAAGAAGGTGTTGAAGGCCATCATGCTGTGTATCTTGTATGGCTTGTTCTCTCTTAAGAGTGGCTTGCAAACCGCCAATAGATATGTTTTGATCTGCACTCACAGAAAGAAGTAGAAAGATTAAGGACACACTAGACCAGCGGTTCTCACACTGGGCGCATATGCGAGGAGTGCAGCGACAATCATCAAGAATTTTTCCAAATCTGCTTGAGATCAGCGAAGACAGCAGTTTAAAACAGAAATACTATGAAGAAAGCCAAGAAGAGTTGTGGATGCAGGTGTATTCAGAAAACAATGCTACTGACAAGGCTGCAGTGCATTCTCAACGTACGCTTACAAACAAAATTTTAAAATAAAAAATAAAAAGATACAGCAGCAAACTTTCTTAGTCAAGTGATTTGAGGGTAAAATTAACTAAACTTCCCATAAACATAAAGGAAAAAATCAAAACAATTAATCCAAACAGTTTCACAAATGAAAATTAATTGTGCACCCTTTTTTCTTCCTTTTCTAAGTATTCAAACCGCTTTAAGGGTGGGTGTGCCGTGAAAAATGTTTAGCCTGGTGCTGTGATAAACAAAGTTTGAGAACCATTGCACTAGACAACATATAAATTGAAAGGTATTGTTACCATGTCAGAAATCAAACCTGTCCGCTCCAAATGATGACAGTGCGATGCATCAGAAACAAGCATATGACAAACCAGGCACCCCGCGCTGCAGTCATTTGGAGGTGAAAGGTTCAATTCCTGGCATGATAACTATGGATTTCAAATTTGATTATGTCTAGTGTTTCCTTCTACCTTTCTATAAGTGCTGATTAATACATGTATATTTGTTTAACATATATATATATATATATATATATATATATATATATATATATATATATATATATATATATATATATATATATATATATATATATATATATATATATATATATATATATATATGGTACTCCTGTCAAATCCGGACGAAGACTAAAAAGCCTTGGACGACTTAGAGTTCTCTCCCTTGGCCGCACTGCAAACAGTGATCGGAAAAGCCAACGAAACAAAGAAGACAGTCACGTCGACATCAGGGCTGCCAATGCTTGGTTGTTTCCCACAGATCTGGGTTTTTTTTTTCAACGCTGCAGGACAATTCTGGGGTTTTTTGGGTGTGTTTTGTTTGTTGGTTTTTGCCGATTTGTATGCTTTAATGATCGATAAATTTGCGTGGTTAGGGGTAGGGGTTAGGGCTAGGGAGTAGGATTAGGATTAGGGTTAGCGTTAGATTTGACAATTTTGACGCCCGAGTTCCCTACCTATAATCGCGCACAGTCCCATACACACACAAACAATCTAGGGCCTCTGGATGCTGGTCAAACGCACATTTCGCCAACGATTGGGGGCACCAGCCGCACTCTATTGGCGTCATATTTGGCAGAGTTTCAGTGGCGCCACTCCCACAAACATCAGATTGTCGGCCAGTATTTCGAAATCCTACGTCAAAATTTTCAAACCTAACCCTAACCCTACCCCTAACCTTACCCCTAACTCTAAACCCTAACCCTAAACCCTAACCCTAACCCTACCCCTACCCCTACCCCTAACTCAAACCCAAACACTACGCATCTCTACACGCAACCGTATGATGACTACGCATCCCTTCACGATGCCTCACGCAACCTTACGCACCCCTGCAGGCAACCGTATGATGACTACGCATCCCTTCACGATGCCTCACGCAACCGTACGCAGCCCTACACGCAACCGTATGATGATAGGTAAGTGTGTCGTTTGTTTCGTTGGCTTTTCCGATCACTGTTTGCAGTGCGGCCAAGGGAGAGAACTCTGGACTAAGTCGTCCAAGGCTTTTTATTCTTCGTCCGGATTTGACAGGAGAGCCTATATATATATATAATGTTTCTACCGCCTCAAGGGTTCCCTGTCCATTTCTGTGTAACCCACCAAGAGCAGAACAAACAAAAAATACATTTCACAGCAGTGATGACAATCAATGACCATCACGGATCTCTGGAACACAAGTGGGTGCTCAGCAAGAGGATGGTGAAGCTTTTAGATCATGAGGCAAACAGCTTAACCACTTCACCACAAACTCCCCAAAAAAATGAACATATCACGGGCTATCATCTGTTACTTTAGACCTTCCCCTCTCTCTTGTATGTATATTATTAACACACAATGTAAGTTCAAGAAAATACACATGAATGAAAGAGTATCCATCATTCTGAAAAACCCTGTAAAATAAGAAGACCACCTCACCTCTCAGTCAAATGAATATTCTCTGTTATAATTTCAAACTTTGGAAAGTCCGGCCGTGCCACAATACCAGCCAGGTCCTCCTCTGCTTTATCCTCCTCCATGTCGTTGCTTTCATCCTCTGGGGATACTCTGTCATCATTCTCCTGCTGCAGGAAGGCAAACAAAAATGAACATAAACATGAGACAGTCAACTAACACCCATCGACTTGTCACTGACAAGGTGTGTTAGTACCAAAACTGAAAGTCAAAACTCATACCATAAATATAAGGTAGATCGACTGGACGTTTCCATAGCCTGACTTGACTTTTCCATAGTAATCTAAGGTAGCCATTTTGTGTTGCTAGATCAATTTTTGGAAAGTACTGGATGAAAACAAGAAATCTGACCCTACTAGAAATTCAACAGCAGCCCACTATGTTAGATAGCCTTCCACACTGGAACAAGACTAAAACAAGAAATCTGCCAATACTAGAAATTTAACAGTAGCCCACTATGTTAGATAGTCAACCAGCCTGGAACAAGACTAAAACAAGAAATCCACCACTACTAGAAATTCAACAGCAGCCCACTATGTTAGATAGCCTTCCACACTGGAACAAGACTAAAACAAGAAATCCACCACTACTAGAAATTCAACAGCAGCCCACTATGTTAGATAGCCTTACACACTGGAACAAGACTAAAACAAGAAATCCACCACTACTAGAAATTCAACAGCAGCCCACTATGTTAGATAGCCTTACACACTGGAACAAGACTAAAACAAGAAATCTGCCAATACTAGAAATTAAACAGCAGCCCACTATGTTAGATAGCCTTACACACTGGAACAAGACTAAAACAAGAAATCTGCCAATACTAGAAATTAAACAGCAGCCCACTATGTTAGATAGCCAACCACACTAGAACAAAACTAAAACAAGAAATCTGCCAATACTAGAAATTAAACAGCAGCCCACTATGTTAGATAGCCAACCACACTAGAACAAAACTAAAACAAGAAATCTGCCAATACTAGAAATTAAACAGCAGCCCACTATGTTAGATAGCCAACCACACTAGAACAAAACTAAAACAAGAAATCTGCCAATACTAGAAATTAAACAGCAGCCCACTATGTTAGACAGCCAACCAGACTGGACCAAGACTAAAACAAGAAATCTGCCAATACTAGAAATTAAACAGCAGCCCACTATGTTAGACAGCCAACCACACTAGAACAAAACTAAAACAAGAAATCTGCCAATACTAGAAATTAAACAGCAGCCCACTATGTTAGATAGCCAACCACACTAGAACAAAACTAAAACAAGAAATCTGCCAATACTAGAAATTAAACAGCAGCCCACTATGTTAGATAGCCAACCACACTAGAACAAAACTAAAACAAGAAATCTGCCAATACTAGAAATTAAACAGCAGCCCACTATGTTAGATAGCCAACCACACTAGAACAAAACTAAAACAAGAAATCTGCCAATACTAGAAATTAAACAGCAGCCCACTATGTTAGATAGCCAACCACACTAGAACAAAACTAAAACAAGAAATCTGCCAATACTAGAAATTAAACAGCAGCCCACTATGTTAGACAGCCAACCAGACTGGACCAAGACTAAAACAAGAAATCTGCCAATACTAGAAATTAAACAGCAGCCCACTATGTTAGACAGCCAACCAGACTGGACCAAGACTAAAACAAGAAATCTGCCAATACTAGAAATTAAACAGCAGCCCACTATGTTAGACAGCCAACCAGACTGGACCAAGACTAAAACAAGAAATCTGCCAATACTAGAAATTAAACAGCAGCCCACTATGTTAGACAGCCAACCAGACTGGACCAAGACTAAAACAAGAAATCTGCCAATACTAGAAATTAAACAGCAGCCCACTATGTTAGACAGCCAACCAGACTGGACCAAGACTAAAACAAGAAATCTGCCAATACTAGAAATTAAACAGCAGCCCACTATGTTAGACAGCCAACCAGACTGGACCAAGACTAAAACAAGAAATCTGCCAATACTAGAAATTAAACAGCAGCCCACTATGTTAGACAGTAAACCAGACTGGACCAAGACTAAAACAAGAAATCTGCCAATACTAGAAATTAAACAGCAGCCCACTATGTTAGACAGCCAACCAGACTGGACCAAGACTAAAACAAGAAATCTGCCAATACTAGAAATTAAACAGCAGCCCACTATGTTAGACAGCCAACCAGACTGGACCAAGACTAAAACAAGAAATCTGCCAATACTAGAAATTAAACAGCAGCCCACTATGTTAGATAGCCTTCCACACTGGAACAAGACTTAAACAAGAAATCTGCCAATACTAGAAATTAAACAGCAGCCCACTATGTTAGACAGCCAACCAGACTGGACCAAGACTAAAACAAAGAAATCTGCCAATACTAGAAATTAAACAGCAGCCCACTATGTTAGACAGCCAACCAGACTGGACTAAGACTAAAACAAGAAATCTGCCAATACTAGAAATTAAACAGCAGCCCACTATGTTAGACAGCCAACCAGACTGGACCAAGACTAAAACAAGAAATCTGCCAATACTAGAAATTAAACAGCAGCCCACTATGTTAGACAGCCAACCAGACTGGACCAAGACTAAAACAAGAAATCTGCCAATACTAGAAATTAAACAGCAGCCCACTATGTTAGACAGCCAACCAGACTGGACCAAGACTAAAACAAGAAATCTGCCAATACTAGAAATTAAACAGCAGCCCACTATGTTAGACAGCCAACCAGACTGGACCAAGACTAAAACAAGAAATCTGCCAATACTAGAAATTAAACAGCAGCCCACTATGTTAGACAGCCAACCAGACTGGACCAAGACTAAAACAAGAAATCTGCCAATACTAGAAATTAAACAGCAGCCCACTATGTTAGACAGCCAACCAGACTGGACCAAGACTAAAACAAGAAATCTGCCAATACTAGAAATTAAACAGCAGCCCACTATGTTAGACAGTAAACCAGACTGGACCAAGACTAAAACAAGAAATCTGCCAATACTAGAAATTAAACAGCAGCCCACTATGTTAGACAGCCAACCAGACTGGACCAAGACTAAAACAAGAAATCTGCCAATACTAGAAATTAAACAGCAGCCCACTATGTTAGACAGCCAACCAGACTGGACCAAGACTAAAACAAGAAATCTGCCAATACTAGAAATTAAACAGCAGCCCACTATGTTAGATAGCCTTCCACACTGGAACAAGACTTAAACAAGAAATCTGCCAATACTAGAAATTAAACAGCAGCCCACTATGTTAGACAGCCAACCAGACTGGACCAAGACTAAAACAAGAAATCTGCCAATACTAGAAATTAAACAGCAGCCCACTATGTTAGACAGCCAACCAGACTGGACCAAGACTAAAACAAGAAATCTGCCAATACTAGAAATTAAACAGCAGCCCACTATGTTAGACAGCCAACCAGACTGGACCAAGACTAAAACAAGAAATCTGCCAATACTAGAAATTAAACAGCAGCCCACTATGTTAGACAGCCAACCAGACTGGACCAAGACTAAAACAAGAAATCTGCCAATACTAGAAATTTAACAGTAGCCCACTATGTTAGATAGTCAACCAGCCTGGAACAAGACTAAAACAAGAAATCCACCACTACTAGAAATTCAACAGCAGCCCACTATGTTAGATAGCCTTCCACACTGGAACAAGACTAAAACAAGAAATCCACCACTACTAGAAATTCAACAGCAGCCCACTATGTTAGATAGCCTTACACACTGGAACAAGACTAAAACAAGAAATCTGCCAATACTAGAAATTAAACAGCAGCCCACTATGTTAGATAGCCTTACACACTGGAACAAGACTAAAACAAGAAATCTGCCAATACTAGAAATTAAACAGCAGCCCACTATGTTAGATAGCCAACCACACTAGAACAAAACTAAAACAAGAAATCTGCCAATACTAGAAATTAAACAGCAGCCCACTATGTTAGATAGCCAACCACACTAGAACAAAACTAAAACAAGAAATCTGCCAATACTAGAAATTAAACAGCAGCCCACTATGTTAGATAGCCAACCACACTAGAACAAAACTAAAACAAGAAATCTGCCAATACTAGAAATTAAACAGCAGCCCACTATGTTAGACAGCCAACCAGACTGGACCAAGACTAAAACAAGAAATCTGCCAATACTAGAAATTAAACAGCAGCCCACTATGTTAGACAGCCAACCACACTAGAACAAAACTAAAACAAGAAATCTGCCAATACTAGAAATTAAACAGCAGCCCACTATGTTAGATAGCCTACCATACTAGAACAAAACTAAAACAAGAAATCTGCCAATACTAGAAATTAAACAGCAGCCCACTATGTTAGATAGCCAACCACACTAGAACAAAACTAAAACAAGAAATCTGCCAATACTAGAAATTAAACAGCAGCCCACTATGTTAGATAGCCAACCACACTAGAACAAAACTAAAACAAGAAATCTGCCAATACTAGAAATTAAACAGCAGCCCACTATGTTAGATAGCCAACCACACTAGAACAAAACTAAAACAAGAAATCTGCCAATACTAGAAATTAAACAGCAGCCCACTATGTTAGACAGCCAACCAGACTGGACCAAGACTAAAACAAGAAATCTGCCAATACTAGAAATTAAACAGCAGCCCACTATGTTAGACAGCCAACCAGACTGGACCAAGACTAAAACAAGAAATCTGCCAATACTAGAAATTAAACAGCAGCCCACTATGTTAGACAGCCAACCAGACTGGACCAAGACTAAAACAAGAAATCTGCCAATACTAGAAATTAAACAGCAGCCCACTATGTTAGACAGCCAACCAGACTGGACCAAGACTAAAACAAGAAATCTGCCAATACTAGAAATTAAACAGCAGCCCACTATGTTAGACAGCCAACCAGACTGGACCAAGACTAAAACAAGAAATCTGCCAATACTAGAAATTAAACAGCAGCCCACTATGTTAGACAGCCAACCAGACTGGACCAAGACTAAAACAAGAAATCTGCCAATACTAGAAATTAAACAGCAGCCCACTATGTTAGACAGCCAACCAGACTGGACCAAGACTAAAACAAGAAATCTGCC